AGAATTTTAAAAAAATTCAAAATTTTCAAAAGGATTTTCAATTTAATTGATTCTGATTGGTGAATATTTGGGCTCCGAAATCAGATCGGAAAGGATCTACAGTGATCTTCAGCTCGGGATTTTCTTGACATAAGGGAACCCAATAAATACTGTAGCCATTGCTTACAGTACCCGACGTGACAAATAACGTAGATCAATTTTTTAAAATATTATTTATATATGACATGTGATGTAAACAATTGTCAATACACGTGATCTTTAATTTTTCACTGTGTAAAAATCATGACACAAAGCAGTGGCATATGGTAAATAAGTAAATAGCAAAAATAGAATAATTGGCACAAATAGAACTACGTACATATAACTGCTTAACTTGGGTTGGTGGGCAATGCAAATTTATATGGAGTGCACGTCATTTTTAGGACATGCATTAAAAACTATGCATACTAAATCATTACTTCGCAAAAAATAAGGCAACAGGTAATTACAGTCGGGCCTCTCTAAGTGCACGCCCTTGGGATCACACTTTAATAACGTGCATATAAAGAATAATAAGAAAAAGGCATTTTATTTAGGTCAAGTATATATTTGGGTCAGCACTTGAACGTGCATTTAGAGAGGGCATGCACTTATATAGGATGCATTAAACTATGGATTATTTCCAGCGTTATTAATAGTAATTTGAAATTTATAAATTTTATGCTTTATTTTCACCAATTATATGAATATTTTTTTTTTCCAACTTCGAATTTGTAGAAAATTTATTCACAACATATGCAAGTACTTAATACGTATTACATGTGGGGCTGCGGAAATTGAGTTTTCTAAACTATTGCTTTAATGGAAGAACGTTAAAGCTAGGTGTGTTAATTATAATTGTGACAGATTAAAATGAAAAAATACAAATTTCCGGGATGCATTTTTTTAGGATTAGTGTTATGATTTAGTGGGCCAAATAGAAACCTTCATTTCATTTTAATACGATGAAAAAAATTCCGTTATATCTCATCGTACACCCACTTTCATAAAAATTCCATATGATTCACTAACTTAAATATAACAAAGAAAGTACATTTAACTGCATCAAAAAAGTAACTATAACGCACCTAGCTTTAAGGTTCCTAGATGATTAATTCTTTCGCTCTAATCTTTGATGATCAAAATGATTATCATTTCATCAACTCAATAAAAAATCCTACAAAGAAAACTGAAAATTGCTAATGTATCAATGAATCCAACCAATAAAATTGCGATTTGAAATTGTTTATCATATATAGATATCAAAAATACAATTTATGAAATATGTAGATCACTATGTGAACGAACCTGACTTTAACGGATCAATTTTAATGTAATAAATATTAAATATTAAGTCAAGATTATATTTTATTAATTATAAAACTTGGAAAACATCATTATATGCTTAGAACCTTTGTCTTGCAGTATATAAATACCGCCAAAGAGAATTTATTAACGAAATTTTCACGTTTACCGTAGAGCGCTGAATAAATTATCCGGAGTACAAATCAAAAACCCTAGTTAACATGATTTGTATTCGATGAATATTATGTGAGAAAAAGATTTTTAGATAGGTGTCATAATTGTTGGCCAAAATTAATTACACGAACCTTATTGATATTAAACGACAGTAATGAGATTTAGTTTGGTAGGCAGGAGGATACTGTACGCAGCGTACGGTGTGATACCGGAAACGTGACCTGAAGCAGGCACGTGTCTCGTGACCCCGGTTGTTTCTAAATTTGGAATTTCCGACCGACAATCGCAGAAATGGTAGAAATGGTGGAAATCGTAGAAACGGCAATTCTTGGGGAAATGGTATTTTTGTCAATAAAGACATTTTTAGGTTTTCTGTCAATAAGGGCATTTATAGGTTTATTGGCATTTTTGGCAATAATAGTATTTTTGGGATTTCTGATGTTAACAGTAGAATAGGGAGATTTTCTAGACAAAATTGGTATTATAAAATAAAGGCCTTTTGGCCCTTGGGAAAAATAACTCCCACCTTTGCTATATTAAAAATCATTCATACCATACAATTACTTTTGTACATGATACTACCCTTATTAATAAAACCATACACTTCGTAAATTTGACTAATTACTTTTAATACTAGTTATACACTTCTACGTTTAAGATACAAAGATACATCTTCATTACGAACCCTGACTCAACAGTGTTAAACTGTGGTTCTGTTCCAACTAAAACTATACCACTCGACTAAATCTATCACGCCTCTTTCGAACCTAAGGTAACCAAGGTTGAGGTTACACAGTCCTACTTTCGATTTAGCGACAGACTCGCTGATTCCGGGTCTGACAACGGTACATATCCAGATGACATAATTTTTCGGGAAATAATTTTTACCTACATGTTGTATTAAATTAAATTATTAAATAAAAAATGCATGAATGCATACTCATTATAATGATGAGGCTAATTTTTTAATGCATTATAATGTATCTCTTATTACATAATCATTTTAAAGGAGTGTACAAACAGATAGTCGTTTGTTTTGCTTTTTGTGTATTATTGCCATTTTTAGAATTAAAATTGTTCATCCGTAACGAAGCGCCAAATTTACGGAAGTTTATTTAAGTGCTACCTCTCTGGATGCATTCAGGCCTAAATATATGCTCAATCATTACGAATTCAAATTTTTTCTTATTCATTCTCTAAATGCATTTTGTCAAAAGACTGGTTCCTATATGCTGCATTTAAAGGGTTCACTATATCTTGACGAAGCTTGAATTAATAATGCAAGGTTTAATTAAATTATGCCAATATATACAAGATTATTCAACCTTCCTAATTTGGCTTATTTAAAAAGAAATCTCTTTAACGATAATTAACTTAAGATGGATTTCCAAAATTTATCTATACAAGTGGGGCCATTGAACTTCAGTTCTGCACGAATTGTTTATATCTTAAAAACTCTTCGTATATGGTCATATCCAAATTATATTTACCTAAAATCAAATCTATAATAGAAAAAAAAATTTTTTTTTAAAAACAAGATTCATTAAACATATTCTTTAACCATGAAGTTCAATATTGTTACCATATCTTTGGCTCTCCTCACTGCCAGAACTTTGGCTGTTCCAACTCCAAATGGTATTATTTTATAACATTTCCGATTAAACTTATAATCCTATATATTCAACTTACTTATTATCACTAATTACATTTGAGAAGATAATACCAATGACTCAAGTAAATGTTTTCTTTTTTTTTATTAATTACTTATATTTTATGTTTAATTACTTATTTTTTAATATAATATTAATTTTTGTTCGATAGATATGGCTTCTAAAAAGGATTATACTGTCAAATATCACGAAGAAAAAAATACAAAAGAAGACTATATGAATTCTAAATTGGTTCACAAGAAAGTGACACAAAATGAAAGCATCAACAAACATGTAGTAAATAATGATAGCGTAGACGCGAAAAGGAAACAAGCTAAAAAGAGCGACAAACATATAGTAAATAATGATAACGTAGACGCAAAAAGGAAGCAAGCTAAAAAGAGCAACAAACATGTAGTAAATAATGATAACGTAGACGCGAAAAGGAAACAAGCTAAAAAGAGCAACAAACATGATGTAAAGAATAAGCGTCAAAGAGAAATGAAAGTGAATCATGGCAAAGCGAAACAACATCATGATAGAAAGAATATGAACAACATAGATGAGAAATTTCAAAAACTTAAAAAGAGTCAGCAACACGGATCAGATATACATGAAGAGATTAAAAATAAAAATGAACAAATGAAAGTAAATGAAGAAAATTATAGCTCTACGAGTGAGAATTGCTTAAATGAGAATTTGAACCAAGATTCATCCAACGAAGATAATGGGCGAAAAGAATAAGAAGTAAAGGAAAAAAAGAAAAATATTAAGAAAGAGAAAGAAAGAAAACAAATATTTGTGAAGAAAAAAATACTATAAATAATATCAAATGTTTCATAATAGTTAATGCTAATTTGTGAATCTCGATAGAATTTTTTAAACATTATTACCATCTTATTATAGATTTATACCGTTATATTGCTCTTATGTAATCTAATGTTTTTTAATCTCTTAATAAAATTATATCAAATAATCAAAAGTCACATCACTAACAATTATATAATACTCTAATATATATTGTTATAAGATAGTATTATAATTAATATTAGGCAGATATACAAGTTTTTACAAATTACTAATGCTTTAAATTTCTGTATATCTTGGTACATCATTTGCAAATTTACAATCGATTTTTATACGATTCAAGATATTTATAATATGATCAAAAAAACAGAAACCATAACGCTAAACCTTATTACATACAAGAATTTATTGCAAAGAATAAATTATAGGTCAGTGTTTTTTTTTTTTTGAAATAACTGCTTTAGTAAAAAATTTTACATTTGAAAGTTTATATGCTTTGCGAAATTGTGATTACGATATGATAATTACTTCAACATCTTAATGGTATTATACATTTCCCTTTTGTCGATAAATAAGGTTCCAAAATACGACAGACATAATGATTATCTATGTTATATTCACGACTCACAGGACTCAAAAAAAAAAAAAATTACAAAGTTATTGCTCCAAATAAATCGAAAATAGCGGCAAACAATTCATAAATAAAATCTAGAAAATATTAAAATAACGTTAAAAAAACAGATTATCTCACTACACAATTAAATTTACGTAATATTATAATTTTTAGGGAGTTAAGGTACGTATGTAAAATTTGGTAGCTTGAATATTAAAATTTTGATCGAACAATTTTTAGCACTCAATTTTACATATAATAATTCAAATTTATTTTATAACAAAATAAATTTCAAATTTTCTTTACTCATGTTTTTATTTTTATTGTGTCTGTTTTATCATTAAATTCAAGAAAATCTTTTTTACAAATATATTCATAATACGTAATATTTATTATTGCCATTTTCAAATTATAATTTTAGAACCCAATTAAATTTTTACTACTCCTCATTAGAAATGGGAAAAATGCGCATTTTATAATAACATGCGCATGAATGCGCATTAATGCGCACGTTATATAAAATGCGCATGATATAATTTTTTTTTTTCCCTCCGGAAAATATTGGATATTTGCCAAAACTTTTTCCCGACCCTTCACATCATTATGTTCATTCACTTTCTTTTCGGAATTTTTCAAACCTTCTGCATTACTATTTCTTAATTTTGCCTGGATTACAAAATATTGAAAATGATTCCGAAAAATACGCAATTTCCCATTACTAATCCTATTACTTTTTTATAATTTTGAAAGATTAATTATTAAAAAATTTATTTTTTAATTTATTTCGATTATATCTTCATATAATTTTTTTTTTTTTTCAGGGAAATTTAACATATATAATCATTTCAAATTTACATTCTACAATGTATTATCATTATAATAATTTTTTTCTTAAAGTTATAAGAAGCCTATTCATTACATTTCAGCTAATTTTTTATAACAAACAAAAGCCTTATACTCATCTATCTCAACTCCAATTCCATTCTTATAACAGTCGCCAAGCGCAAATATTCCATCATTGTCATCCATCTCTGCAGATTTTTGATAATAAATGAATGCCTTATGTTCATCCATTTCAACCCCAATCCCATAACGATAACAATGTCCAACCATATATGTTCCAATAGCGAATCCCATCTCTGCAGATTTTTGATAATAAATGAATGCTTTATGTCTATCCTTTTCAACTCCAATTCCATTAAAATAACAATATCCAACATTATAAGTTCCATTAACACAGCTCATGCCAGCAGACTTCAAATAGTGAATAAATGCTTTATTCTTATCTTTATTAATACCAATTCCATATTCATAACAAACACCAACGCAATATATTCCTTCACCGAATTCCATATCAGCAGACTTTTGGTAATGAATAAATGCCTTATGTTCATTCTTTTCAACCCATTTACCAAAACGATAGCATCTTGCAAGAACGATTTGAGCAATTGGATTATTTTGATTATCTAAGCACCAATTGATAATATGATCTGAATTTTGCTTCTTTTTTACTAAAATTTGATCCAATGAGTTAACGGCTAAATTCAAATCGTCACATAATAAAGTCTCTTCATTATATTTATTATATAATTCTTTAACAATTTCGCTAAAAAAGCTGTCATCTTTTAAATCTAATTGGTTAAAATTGTCAATTATTTGTGTAATTTCGTTTGATGAACTAATAAGTTTTTTTGGATTTTCAGCTATTAAATTATTTGACATTTTAAAACCAAGAATTAAAAAGCAAAAATCTGATATAAAAAGCATTATTGCTACTTATATGCGTATAAAATTATTTCTGTATTTGTAATACTGTATCATATTTTAGTCACTTTATGTAACATTATAAACTGCATGCAGCATGATTTACATGCGCACGTTGTAAAAGGGCGGATTTGGGATGACTAGTACTCGCAACCTAAAACAAACCAAAAACAAAGGCTACCCGAAAGAAGACGCGGAAGATTTGGTCTGCGAACCAAGGATCTTACTGCCACTAGGATTCCCGGAGTTTATTATAAGATGGTCTTTATTATTATAACACTTCACTACTTTTCAGATACATGAAATCGAAGGTTATTTATACATTACAGAGAGCTTTGGGGCTTTGCTACTACAATTATAATCTTCTAAGCAATATAGTATCGGGAAATCTATGACTAACGATGAGCAATTCATACTAATTTACATGACTATGACTTAGTTCCCACCATAGAGGCGCCTTACTATTGTTTTTCAATAAAATGGCATTTATTAAATTCCTTTGCCTTTGTCGATCAATGCGTATTAAGATCCCGAGCTTTATGACTTAGATCACGTTTTTTTGCTGCGGCTGGGTCACGTTACCCCTTCACAACGTACATGTGTATATTGTTACAATCATAGTACTTACATATTTAGATAATAACAAAAAAACATTTTAAATACATGCTATGGGAGACTATGAAATAATGTTGCAAAATTTGAAATTATTAAGACATTTTTCGCTTTATACTATACAGTATCCATTTGAAATTGTATCAGGTACGTACGTACTATTTAATTGCAGATTCTAACATTTTTGTCAATGATCAGCTCACACTCACTTCAGTATACCCCATGAATAGTATCACAATCTTCACACATCTTTGTAAAAACCCGGAAATATAGTATGCAGTGCGGTGCGGTAATATAATATATATATATTTACTTGATGATTTATGTAAAATTAATTTAGCTATTAAAGTATTTTGTATTTAATCAACCGAAATGTTAAATATTACAAATTTAATTAAGTATAATAAAAAAAAGTATGAATTTTGAAACGAGGCTGAACGGTAGACAGTAGAAAAAATAACTAAAAAATAAAAATGCTACAATATAGATTAAAAATTATGATCAAAGAAAGAAGCAATTAAAAAAATATTAATGGCGTTATGGTTTAGAAAAAAGTAGTAGATTTGCAAAGAGGCCAAGATCTATATAAATTAACCTTGTTTATGTATTAGTACTTTCTTATTTCTATAAAACTAGTCTTAGATCTATTTGCTGAATACTATGCTTTGTTTTCATTAAGTTTTGTTTTCATAAAAAAAAAATTCTTTAAAAGATATTTAACATGATTACTAAACCAAGAAACGGGAACCGTTGAAGTCCGGAGCCTAGATTTTTAACCTATTTTCTATTATTAATTTTACTTTGAATTTCAAAATACTATTTTATGAGTTACTATTTTTATCATTTAATTTATGTGCATTTTCTTCATAATTCGAGCCAATTTAAGAGTCTTGTAAAAAAAATATAGCTTAATAAATAAATAATTCAAAATGCTACAATTATGTAATAAAATCATTAACTAACATAGTCCCGATTATTAGAATTAGTTTGATCAAATAATTATCATAATTAATTGTGACGAGCAAAAAAAAGGGTTGAATTACCTGCACGCCTTCTTTGCGTTTACAGTTATGAATTTTTTTAAATATTTGAATTCCATCTTTTCTTAATAACAATTTTCCCGATATTATTATACATAATAACATTAAGGACTTTGTATTCGGATATAAATGTTGTAGGTGGAAACAGAATTTAAGTGGATTTGGAATTTATATTAAAAAACCCCATTTCATCATATGTACATACGTTAAATTCGATATTTGGGTATACTCATATTACTAAAATTTCGTGCTGAAAACTTTTGTTTGGAAGTCAAACTACGGTTATCATAGTAAAATCTTGAGTTATTTACGATTTTTCAGTTTTCTCAATGAGAAAACAAAAAAAAACGTAAATAACTCAAGAATTTACTATGATAACCGTAGTTTGACTTCCAAACAAAAGTTTTCAGCACGAAATTTTAGTGATATGAGTATACCCAAATATAGAATTTAACATATGTACATATGATGAAATGGGGTTTTTTTAATATAAAATTCCAAATCTACTTAAATTCCGTTTCCACCTACAACATAAATAAAAATTAACTTATTGATTATTTTAAGAGAAATTAAGGCTGCATCATATTTAAATGCTGATTTGCCGTGTTTTTGTGCAATCTATTAAAAGAATCTAAGTTCTAATTAATGAATCGATCACTGTATTTTGGCGTCGAATATATTAACCAACTAGAGTAGTATAGTCGTTTTAATTTTTATTTCGTGCATCATTAAATTTTAAATTTAATAAATGTTAAACAATTTATTAATTGTATTAAAATAAAACACGTAATAAAACTAAAATGAGTAATTAAGTGAAACACATAATAAAAGTGAAACGCATAATAAGTGATTAACTACATGATTGTTTAATAATAATATTTTTTTTGATTATTTGCTTTATTTCTCTTTATTTTTATTTTTTTTTACATCATACAATACATTTTATTTTTACATAGTTTAATATAAACCATTACAAAAACAATTAATTTTGGTTATATTTTTAAAAAATTTTACTACATTATTTTAATTAAGACTATCCCGTCATAATATATTGATTAGATACTAAAGTTTATATTGTATTCTCTTTTTATATTCTCTT